GCCGCTCGCTGATTCTGATTCCGGTGCTGTTCTGGCCTGCTCTTCATCTTGGGCCTTGATTCTTGGCCTGAAACGGAGTTGTCGTCTCTGGGGGGGTTTCTGGTGGAAGAATCGGAATCTGGGGAAATTGGAGGGTTTGGAGAAAGATAAGGAGTTGGGGGGGCACGGAGAGAGGATGGGGAGGTTAGGGATTAGGTTAGGGTTAGGGTTAGGGTTTTGAGAGGCGGGAGAGAAAAACTGCAGGGAAGACATTGGCTCCCCCTCCTCTCCCTGCGCGCCTATGTTTCGGGTGCGATCCCTGCGAACGTGACTGCATGAGATAGGACTTTCCTCAGCAGTAGGGAGAGGAAAGGAATCATCAGGCAGCAAAAAGGAAAATTTTTAGGGTAAATTTCAGAAACCCCCTTAAGTTTGGAAGCTTCTCAAAAAAGTTTTGGGGTTATCAAAACTCAAAAAAACCCCCCCAAAAAAAAAAAAAAAAAGCCCGAATGAAAACAATAGTCTTCTCTTTTATGAGAACGAGGGGGATGCACCTGCAGTCAGTCGTGGTTAAATATCATGATTGTTGGGTTTATTTGTTTAGAGTGGTGTTAGGGGCACACCCCCTACCACACCATCAACCACACTCTCCTCTCACATCGCTACAGTAAACCGGACCTCACATGAGATTTTAAAAATTTTAAAATCCCATGTGAGGCCCGGTTTACTGTAGCGATGGGAGAGGAGGATGTGGTTGGTGGTGTGTTAGGGGGTGTGCCCCTAACATTATTTATTTGTTTAATATAACTTGTTCATGGAGTTGTTTCTTTTAAACCTCCACTTGATAATGTAATATTGTTTGTGAACTTTCTTAATACTTACGTTTACCTTCAACTTTCATTTTATATGTCGTTGTGACCATAAGCAGTTTAAACAGCAATTTCATTTGAAAAGATTAGTCAATCGTATAGCAACCTCTTTCTTCAATGTCTCACATCTAATAATAGTAGATGGCATAAAATTCTTATGAAGTAAAAAAAAAAAAGGAAAACCAATCTTATTATAATGTTAATTCTTAATGACTATAATAAGAAAACGTATCACCATCTAAGAAAAATCTCTCCATAAACAAGCAAAGATAACCACATTCAACTATTAAGTCGCTCAATTCTTATTATTTTGGAATTAAATCATCAAATCGTTGAAATAGCTATTACATCCTCAATTCTTTAGTTATTTTGATGTTAGCTCCTCCAACCAAGAATGAATTCCCCCTAGCTGCTAATTATACCATTGATTTGAAGGGCTAATTTTAAAATAACTTAAGAATTGATTTACCTAATAATATTTTCAATCTTTGATGGACTAATCTCATAATAGAAAGACTTAAAGGACTAATATAAAAACATTTTAATCAATTAATTGTTGTTAACATGTTATTAATTCCATAAATTTATATTAATCAATTGGATAATATTTACACACGCAATGCATATTATGTTTACAATGCTAATGTCCTCTAAATTCCTTTCGACTCTTTAGTTGTCAACCAATTCTAATTAGATTAACTTTTAGTTAGTTAGATTTTAATGGAGAGGGCTTTAATTTGAAAGTTAAATACAGACTTAATATCTTTAGTTGATGTCCAATTATAATTAGGATAAGAATGTTAATATTAAAAATGATTAGGGTTTAAATTGACCAACGAAAGTTTTTCAAGAACTACCATTTTTAATTAACTCCGCCCGAGTTGCGCTTTGTTTTATTGTCCGCACTACAAGTCCCAAGCCAGGATAAAGTAGGAGGGTTGCGTTTGGTAGCTGATAGCCAGCATAAAACGTAGTCGGATCCACATGACATGAATCCTATAGAATATTCGTTAGGGCGTCTCCACCGCGACACGTTGCATTGATGCCACCCGGATGCAATGATAAGTAGACAAGGGTGGTTTGACAAGTCATTCCCTAAAAAGCAACGTGTTACATTGATGCCACCCCCGGCGTAATAATAAATAAGTAAGGGTGTTCTAGGACATTACAATTCTCTAATAGGTTGCCAAATAGTATTAGGCATAGACTAGAGCGTCATAAGAGAGGGCATGATAGAAGACTTTTAAAGGAGAATGAAATTAGGTTAGCTACTTAGAATATATGTACTCTTATCGGAAAGACAATGAAATTAGTAGAAATCATGATTAGAAGAAAGACTAGTATAATCTGTTTACATGAAACTAAATGGATAGGTAAAAAATCTAGAGAAATTAAAAAACAAGATATAAGCTTTGGTACACGGGAAAAGAAAAGAATAGAAACGAAGTGGAAGTACTTGTAGATAACACAATAGAAGATACCGATGTAGATGTGAAAAGAGTAGGAGATGGAATAATACTAAAAGAAATTATTTTGGGAGTAGAGGTTATTAATATTGTTAGTGCTTAATCTCCACAAGTAGGGTTGCCTGAGAAATTATTTATAGAGGAGACTTTAATAGGCATGTTGGCAAGGATAATAATAGATATGAGAGGATACATGGAGAGTTTAGGTATGTAATTAAGAACGATATGAGAGAATTAGTTTTAGAGTTTGCAACATTATAGGATATGATAATAGCAAATACACAATTTAGAAAAAGCATGAACACTAAATAACATTTAAAAGTGGATATGATAGTAGTCAAATAGAATTTTTTTCTTACTAGAAGAGTTGATAGGTTAACATACAAAAATTGTAAAATTATACCTGGAGAGAGTTTAACTAAATAGTGAAACTTAAAAAGAGAGAACTTAGTACTTTTTAAAGATAAGATGATGAAAGAAGATATATGAAATATAGATAATGAGATCAATTATTTGGAATAGTATGTCCTCTTGTGCTAAGAAGGGCTAAGGATATTTTAGGAGAATCTAAAGGTTGTAGGTTAGATAGTAAGGAGAGTTAATGGCGGAATTAAGAAGTGCAAAAAATAATTAGGGAGAAAAAACATTATATAAAAATTAGCAAAAGTGTAGGAGTAATAAAAACTTTTAAAAATATAAGTTAGCAAAGAAAGAAATTAAATACAAGGCTTATAAAAAAATTCTATAAGAAGTTAGAATCTAAGGAGGAAGAAAAAAAAATATAAGCGTGCTAATATGAGAGAAAGAAAAAAAATAGGGTCTTGTAATATTAGGTGTATTAAGAGTGATGATCAAAGAGTTCTAATAACCGATGAGAAAATAAAAGAGAGGTGGAGGAGCTACTTTCATAAATTGTTTAATGATAACAAAATATGTGAGCAAAGCATAAAAAATTTGACCATATAGTGAATGACAGAGACTATAGATATTATCGAAAAAATAGGATGAGTGAGGTCAAAGATGCTCTAATGCTATGTTTGGGAACTCACTAAGGGAAGGAAATGAAAGGTTAGGAAAGGAAGAAAACTTGTCAATTTTCTCTTCCCCTCCTTTGCCCCCAATTTAGGGTGTAAGATTTTAGTATAAAATTTTCCCTCATTTCCATCCTCTACCCTTCCAATAGAACTCCCAAACAAGGTTAAACTTATATTTCTCTTTCCTCCCTTCTCTACCATCCATCCAAACACATCATAAAGAAAATAAGAAGTGAAAGAGCCGTAGAACCGGACAATATCTCTACTAAAGTTTAGAAATATCTTGGAGATATAGGATTAGGATAGTTGACCAAATTATTTAGTATGATTACTGAGACAAAGAGAATACCTGATGAGTAGAGGATTATTACGTTGAATAAAAGAGATATATAAAGATTTTCAAACTATCATGATATAAAACTCATGAGTCATACTATAAAATTTTGGGAAAGGATAATTGAACAAAGACTAAGAAAAAAGACAAATGTATTTGAAAACTAATTCAATTTTGTGCCTGGGAGGTTAACTATGGAACATATACATATTTGCAAACAATTTATGGAAAAATATAGAGAAAAGAGTAAAGATCTACATATGATTTTCATTGACCTAGAAAAAGCCTATGATAGAATGACAAGAAAGGTAACATGGTGTGTTTTGGAAAAAAACACATACATAATATATATATATATATATATATATATATACTATATATATTTATATAGTAATATATATATAAATATAGGTATAGTATATAGTATAGTAAGTATGACAAGAAAGGTAACATGGTGTGGTTTTGGAAAAAACGTACCTAAATATATACTATATAGATATTATAATATATAGGTATATATATATATATATATATATATTTGATTAGTATATATATAATATACTAATATTATTAGATGTGAACTAAAGATATGTATGACGCGAGGCGAAGCCAATTAAAGTAAAAACTAATGAAAAGGATGTTGGCCTTCTTGTTTTGATGATGATTTACAAACAATTTACATCTAATATTGTTTATCTAGTGTTTGTGTTTTATATTTATTCTAGGTAAATAATATGTTAGAGGATAGATGGATTGCGCCATAGCGATCATATCAAATGGAGGTTGGCGGAATAGTAGAGTGAAGCCTTGCTATCAAGTTAAAGATAAAATTATAAGCTTCATCCAAGTTTACCAAGTCAAGCTTATTGAAGATCAAGATCAAGCTTGAGTAACATTAGTTTAGGTTTATATTATGTGTAATGTTAAAAACTTTGCATATATGCAGGGGGAGTAAGTATTACATGTTTTAAAATTTAATATGATGCATAAATTATTTGTTATCATCAAAAAGGGGGAGAATGTTGAATATCATTTCTCCATGATAATGTTTTGATGATAACAATTTATATTTTGTGTGCACTAACTTTCATATGCAGATTTCAATATCAGAATATGTACAAGTGCAAGTGAATATCAAGGCATTTTGAAGTGAAGAAAATGAAGAACAAAAGATAATGTATTTGAATTTTTCTTTGCTTAGAATATTTGTACAAGCCTTGATCACACACACGCACACACACACATTTTTAGAATACACTAACACAGGCTTAGTGTGTTGGTTAACTATAGAAATCCCCTATGTTAACCATTAGAATAATAGTTAAAACTTAATTATAAAAACTCATTATTTCTGAATTTTTGATCTTAATAGTCGACTAATTAGGATAGTAGTCGATTACTCATGTATATAACTCAAATACAAGTTTCTGTCTTTTTACAGTATAGTCGACTAATAGAGATTATAGTCGACTACTGAGATGTTTGACAGAAACATAAGTTTCTGTCTTTTTACAGTGTAGTCGACTAATGACTACAGTAGTCGACTACTGAAGAAAAATATAAATTTTCAAGTTTCTGTCTGAACTCAGTGTAGTCGACTAATTATCATTATAGTCGACTACTGAGAACATTTTCCGAAAACACAGAGTCTGTCTGAACTCAGTGTAGTCGACTAATGACTACAGTAGTCGACTACAAGAGACAGTTTTTCAGTTTTCAGAATTTGAATATCTGACAGTTTTTGGCCGTTTTTAAACGTTTTCAAACTTTAAAAACTTGTCTTTTCAAGGGGTATATATAGGTTATTTGTTCAGAAAAATTGGAGAAATATACATACCCATAAGCTTTGATTCTTGAGCAATTTCCTAAGTGAAAAACATTCTGATTTTCTGAAAAAGAAGAGTTTCTGAAATTGCCTATATACTTTCATCAAAAACAAATCAATTAGGCAATTTTACAAAGATTAAAAGAATCCTAAGCCACTGCTGCACATTATTACACATTCAAGGCTTATAGGATCATTGTGTTCTTCTTCAACAAGTTTTCTCTCGGTTGTGAGAGGGTTAGTCTCTTGGGTTAGAGATTGGTGTTCAAATTGACAAGGAGTTTGTCAATTGGTGTTGCAATTTGCAGGAACTTGCAAATTGGTCAGGTTTGCATTTGATTTTGTAAGTTTATTCAAAATCATAGTGAAAACT